AACCCCTAAAACAATTAGTGCAGGGTAGAGGTTTGGCCTTGCTTGTCAAGAACAACCCTGAAATGTTCCATACGGGCTAATAAGGTCTTGAACCAGCTATCCCAGCAGAGCAGCCCATGGTCCCGCTTCCCAGCTTGCGTCCTCTTTAGCTTCACATCCTGCAGGGATGAGCATAGCTAGGACTTTCTCCTGGTGTTTTTCTTTTCCTATGCACCACTTAGGCAAGCTGGCTCTGGTGCTGTAAGATCCAGCACCTAAGTCACATGTTTTCACAAAGCAAGTTTACTCCAGCGACTTTATGTAGACAGCAGTACATATGGAGCATGTTTCAGGGACATACAGTAATGATCAAGGATTTAAGTTTAATAAACAAAAGGTAAATAGGAAATACCACACACGTGGTGAACATAAGCAACGTAGTTAAAACTGCGTAATATGTGACACCTGTTATTTTCTGAATTTTGCAATGTTTTGCACTATTTAATGAGAGTGGGGTTGTGTTTTGTCTGTCTTTTCTGCCATGTTGTGGTGAGTTCTTAATATTGGAAGTTACAGCAGGAAACAAAAAGGAACAAATAAAGCAAATACAGAAGTTATTGTTTCCTGAATATTAGGAGCTCAACAAGTAGATTATCTAATTTCTTTACCAGCCTCACTACTCATCCAGCCAGCTGTTCATAATTACAAAATACACATAATAACCTATTATCTGAAGGGACAAGAATACAGTAAAGTGAATTGCAACTATCTCTGCTTGGCATGTAATCAGGTTTCTATCCTTGTGCATGCTGGTATTTTTCCATTGTGTTTGGACCCTTGATCTGAATGCTTTCCTGGTTGCCTGTACTTTCTTTTTGCTTGTGGTGGTTGTAGGGAGTTCAAGGACAAAATACACACTTCAACTTATACCTGGAGACAACAAGAGCACCTGTGGGTTCCTTCTGATTTCATCTAAAAGGCTGGGAAATTTTTGAACCCTTATGTGGTGATCTAGCTTTGCACTACATTTAACTGCGCAGTGGTTTCTGTACTGAGCTAAGCAACCCATAAGTCTTTTCCATGGCATAAGTATAGTACTTAGCATTCAAATGGGATCTTGTGTATTGAGCCAAATGCAATTATTTGCAAATGAATCAGTGCCACACATCCTCAGGGGGAGAACTGTAATACCAAGTGCTGGTTTGAAATGTCATCTTTTCTGTGGGAGAATTCTCTGTAGGTAACATGTTAACTATTTTCAACCTAATTTTAGGCAAACAGAAATTGGAATTCACTGAAGTTTGCAAAGAAAATTCTACCTTTGATCAAAGCCATAGCAGATTTCAGCTTGCTCCATTTTGAACGTCATGCCGATGTGAAAAGCAAGCTTTTCACTAATGTTTGGCATCTTAACCAGAGCTGGCACTCTTAGGCAGTGCTTTAATTATACATTATATTAACCAGTGTGAAATACTGAGCCTTATTAAGATAGCCAAAAGCCTTCTTTATAGTTGATTTATTAGAGCTTGAAATTAACTTTTCACAGTCCAGCTCAAATGGATCAGTAGATATGGAAATTAGGCTCTTTCTACAGCAAGTTTCCCCACGGTTATCTCCAGTGCTCTCTCCAGTCCCTTGCAATGCATCCACCCTCTGTAAAGATCCCAGTGCCCAGACGTGCCAAAACACTGGGCATCAGCCATCAGCCTGATACCTCCATTAAAAATGTCAGTGCCAATCTTGTGGTTGCTTGGAATGATCTCCTGGAAAAATGGAAGTTTAAAAAGTCACGTTTACCCTGGGCTCACCCAGGTGCTCAGACGTGTGGCTGGTAGGCTGCACCAGGCTGGCTGATGCTGGAAATGTTCCTCTCTGGTATGTTTGCAGATGAGCATTTTTTCTCCTCCTGACACTATTTAGTCGGTATATGGCTGGGATGTCAGGAGCTCAGGCTGAAGATCTAGACAAAGTCAATTGGATAGAGGCACTTTGTCATCCCTCTAGCCCTTGGAGGCAGGTGCTGTGCTGCACACTTGCCTCTTGAATAGCTACACAAAGGCTTTGAAGTTGGGCCTACCAACGTTATTTTCGCAGTGGTGTTTTTCTCCTCTTCAAAATAACAGTGTTACTTTCCACTAAATATGAGTTTTCAAAGCATTTTCTGAAGATGGAAGAGCATCATCTTTCTTTGCCTCAGAAGAGCACCTATCAGCTTGCCAGGAGCCTGAATAAAAGGCAATTTTCTACAAGATACAGGTGGCAAGCATGGGTGTTTATGGATCTCCCCAAAGAGCAATGATGTGCACATTTTCCACTAGTTGTTGCACTGAGATGATTCGGATTAAATTTAGGTACATGGAGATAACACAACAGCATTATCATGAGTTACTGTGTGATTACCACTGGTTCCAGTGGAGTTACCATTGCCAGTTATCTTCCTGTTGCTGTGTAATCGCATCAATTATTTCCCTGGTAACTGTGTAAATTACCACAGCTGTAACTGTAAATATCTGAATGGCTAATTATTCACACCGCAGCACCTAGAAAAGTGGATGCTGAATGGTCACCGGCAATATTGTCCTGGCTGGTACAAAAGATGCCCAGCAGTGCTCTCAGCTTTGCTGGCCAACCCCCTGCACCAGCGGTAAAGAGGAAGGCAAGTGGTACTAAGGTCTCCTGCCCCTAAGTACCTGCAGGTACAAAGGTATTACCTGTTTGAAGTGCTAATGGTGTTAAGTGGAGACACCTTCTGTAGGAATGCATTGCTTTTCAGCCCTTCTTGATATTCCCACTAAAATGAGCAAAGCCAAAAATGCCCTCAGCAGACATCTGGAGTCTGCTGGACTTGGTGTCTTACTGTCTTCCACACTCATGTGGGTTGGGTATCTGGACAGGCAAGGTCTAATGAAACTGCAGCCACAGTCTTTTTTCAGTCAGAGCAAAACCTGTATATCCTTTTGTTTGTCAATATTTAATGCCAGATGGCAGAAGACAGGCTGTCCCTCCTGCAGCATGCTCCAGCTGAAAGTGAGCTGCAGCAGAGCCAGGCCCATTACTTTAGAAAGGCAGCACAGAACAAGAGGTCTTAACACGTCCCAGAATATCTTCATGGGGCTTCAGTTCTCATTATGATGGCAACATTGGACAGGACGTGGTGGCCCATTTCCTTGCAATAGCATGCAAGTATGAAGTAGGTGTCTGTAGCCAAGAGGCCTAGAGAATATCCATTCCATGTACTTGTGCAGTCTACAAGAACATTTCCTAACACGACCCAAGAAATCTGAGTCCTATTTCAAACAAACCAAAATATAACAATGCAGGAACAATGACTTCAAGTATATTATATTGAAGAAAAAGAGTAGGAGCCAACCGTGGGCATCACTATTGTCCCAGGTCACTCAGATATCCCTAGGGAGTTTGTAATGCTCCACACTATGGGAAAAAAATTAAATAGGACCCTCTAGCTGTATAGAGAGCTGAGTTGTCCACCAGTCAGTGGGATGATATTTCTCAGCCAGCTGGGAGGACAGTGGCAGATGGTAATTTCATCCTATACTTCATCTCCCAACTAATTACAGAGAAGCAGAAGGACAGAAGACAAAGACGCAAGCCTGATGTGCCCTTCTGTCCCAATAGTCAGTCCACCCTTTGAATAAGATTTATCACTAGGATGTGCTTTTCAAAGTCTTTAGAACTTCTTCCATTTTCCTTGTTCCTGTACCTAATCAGGTATTTTGCTTGGTTTTTGTGATGAATATTGGTTGTTCACCTCTTGATTTTGTTAAAAATATTGTTAAAATAAGTCCATCATCTGTAGAATAGTAGTTACGGATCTCTGCCAGTTGAATATGGGGACTAGCTCCCAGCATGATGGCATTTTAAACCCATCTCCTGACAGCATGCTTCCAGCAACCTGCCATGCATTTTCAGATTTCCAAACTCTCAGACATCAGGTTTCTGATGAAATCAGTGGATCTGGAGCTCCCACATCTTGTGCTTTGCTTCTATTTCATGCTGCAAGGCAAGCCATGGGTCTGGAGCTCCAAGTACTGCAAGATACAAATTCCCCCTCTTTGGGACGGCAAAAAAGAGAAGCAAGGTATTCAGAGCCATTAGCCAGCATGACCATGTCTTCCGTTTATCTCAAACAGCTTTCTACATCCTGCTTTTGTGGTGTCCCCAGACACAGGGCTTAGTTTTAGGTGACTGAAAGCTATTGCTTTTCCTTTCCCCGCAGAGTTCCCACACTCGTGGCTGCCGCACACCTCCCATCCCCTGGCTTGTGCCTTTCCCACTTAGTAACTGCCTTCCCCACACCTCGTCCTTCTGTGGGATGGGCAGCTCTGCAGTGAGGAATGGTGCTTTATCATCTCATGTCTGGGTGGCAGAAGCACGGAGGAGGAGACACAACATCTGGAGTATATCTGTAGATTTAAATGATGCAAGCATTTGGGAAGGGCATCCAATGATACTTCGGGCCTCTCCCTCAATGGCACAGATAAACCTTTTGGCTTTAAAAACTATCATCAAGATTGCCTGCTCAGGAAGAGTCACATTTCTGCACCTGTGCTGCGCCCAGCAGCTCTTTGCCTTCTTAGCGGTTCTTTGAGTTTTTAGGCTCTGTTGGTGCTAAGATACTCATCAGCATGGGCAGCGGTGTCACAGCCCTGCCTACCAACGTGGCATGGGGGGCACCCCTGCTTCTTGTTAGGAATGCCTGTGTCATTCATTAGGGTGACTAATGTATTCTGTCAGCTCCTGAATGGATTGGAAATGCCACACCTCATAGAATTTGCAAGGTAGTTGGGATTTTTTTTTTTCCTCTTTTTTAATTACACTTTTACGCTTGACTTGCCCAAAGAAGTTGTGTGTTGCGCACCAGGCTTACGGGAAGTAGGACTGAATTAGCATGGGACATGGGGAACAGCAGAAAGGCAGCTGCCTCCCGTTTAAATTAAAACTAAGCCACATCAGAATGTTGCCAATTAAAAATAAAATGAATGACTTTGCTCTCTCTGTAGGTGACCTGTCTCCATGATTTCTTTGGGGATGATGATGTGTTTATCGCCTGTGGTCCAGAAAAATTCCGCTATGCACAGGATGACTTTTCTCTGGATGAAAGCGGTAACATCAAACACACACTGCTCTCCAGTCTGTGTTTTTATTTGATTTCCATTCAGTTGTTTGTGTCAGATAATAATGCTGCATGCTTTTGTTCTGTTTTTTAAGACCTAGTGCATGGAATTTAACATCCTTTTGTGATACTTGTACAGTCAGCGGATATTATAATCAGGCAAATACTGACTGAGGTAGCCCAAGTCAGAATAGATGAACTCCTACACCCTTTGACATTTACTGCAAAATCTGGTAGTGTATATCCTTTCGACCAGCTGCAGTCAGATAGATACGTTTTTCTTGAGAACTAAACAGTAGAAGGACTCTTGTCCTTAGCTACACATGTGAGTATTAAAAAATGGGAACAAGCACAGTTAAAAGAAAAATCACTCCCTCCACTGCTGTCTTCTGCTGATTCAAAAAGCAGGGCAATAATTCCCTTTTTGCAGAGGGGACTGGGACAGCTCCATTATTTGTCCCTGTTACAACTGCAAGCACAGATCTGTACTAATGCGAGTCTCTATGATCAATTAAGTCATGAAATCTTTGATTTCACAGAATATACAGAGCTTGCTTGTAGGAGTCACCACCTACCCCACCTTGAAGCCGTATACACCAAGAACGCAGGCTGTCTGCTGGTGCCAGTGAGTGCAGCAACAGTAAATTAATGTAACTTTGACCATGTAAACTAGAAGAAAATGTGGTCTCCAAACATTCAGGCTCATTTCTCAAAGCTCTAGCTGTCCTCTATAAGGAACAGGAGCCCCATGCTGTCTTATATGCTACAAACTGGCTGAGCATTGAAGACCAAAGAGGACTTTTGCTATATATCAGGAAATCAAGCAGCCTCTAATCGTCAAGCACTGTATTTTTATGACTCCTTTGCAAGCCTGCTTTTATTTGATGATGGTACTTCTGACCTGTGTACTCCAGATGAACCCATTTGATGGTCTTGGCTAATTCAAAGAAAGTTTCCAAGGTTCAGCTGAAACTTTGCAGGCAGAGAATAAAGCCTGTGTCAGGCTGGGGAAGCAATCTGTAACCTGAGCTTTGTAATTTTTTTAACGCTCCACAGTTGAGTCAGCTCCGCAGGGAGTTCCACACTGTAAAACAGTTTGGATGCAATCCTAGCAGAACAACTTGATGGGAAGCCCAGCTCTCTGCCTACACTCCCGGTTACTACTGATTTTTCCAGCTTGGATTTCTCTTACAAAAATAAGCCAAGCCTGCTGTTGGGAAGGCACCGAGTAACTGCAGCTGTCAGTAGTATTTTCAGGGGAGTAGGGGTGCCCTGCACCTCTCAAGAAGCAGATGAGGAGCTATTAGCCAGCAGTATTCTCCCGTTATCACCCATCATCCTTCCTTGTTATGAGTCAGATGCTGCAAGGAGAACCGTGAGTCCTGAGGTCTTGCAGATGAATGTCACATTAAAACCTCCTCTGTCATGGGGTCCTTTTTCTTGCCTGTCTGGATGACATGCATTTGGATTGCTGGTTATTATGTTCATTCTGGCAGGACATCAGGAAACAAAATGAGAAATAGCATAAGAGAGGATTATGTCATCTTTTTCCTCCTGACTGCCCACCACAGCTTCCGCCCTATAATCCCTGTTGCTGAGCGCCTTCCAGATGACGTTGCTCTGCCTCATTCCTACCAACTGGTTTCAGCATCAGCCCACAGAAATGTCATGCCCCCTGTGATGTTGAGAGGCCTGTTTACGCTAACTTCAGCACAGTCAGGTTTCCACCTTTAGAACCTTGTTTCAAGATGTGCAAATGCTCAGGGGTTGCCTTTGGTGCACTGACACTTGCCAACGGCTGAGCTGGAGGAATTCCTCAGAGTCAGCCTTTCTGTGCTGGAAAATGCAAAGCTGAGTTTCTTTTCAAGGAGTTACTCCCCTGGGAAGAAAATACATTTGAAAGCTCTTGACACAACATAAAGTATTTTCACTTTTTAGGTTTATTTTTTTAGGGAGTAATTCAGGTGACTAAACATAGATGTCTGGCACCCTTTGAGACCCCCTTGGTTTCTGAGATACCCACATGATATATGATTGACAGATGATTGACAGATATGATTGACCCAGGGGCACCAGGAGACCCCCTCAGCTCCGGGGAGGCTCCACTCTAGTGTATCTCACATAGCATTTGGTGCCTATGGCTTGGCAAATGGATCGTGCTTTAAGATCAAAATGTTGCACTGTTTGTTTTTGCACAGCTGTATGTAAGAGCCTTGAAAAATATTACTTCTGCAGTGACTGAAGATGATTTTTCCCCATGTTTTGGCTGCGCTGATTAACACCAGGAGCAGTTATTTGCACACTTCCCCTAGTGGCTATTTCACAGTGTCTCATCAAACACTATATTCTTTAGTATCGAGGAGGGATAGTCTACCTTCCACACCTCCCCGCCCCCAGTCATTACTGCTCTTCATGTATAAAAAATTGGGGCTATATCAGTGCTGGAGCCCTACAAGACTTTCTGTGGCATCATCTGTGAGAAGTCAAGTACCTTTGGGGAAAAAAAAACCAAAACAACCAGAAAACTTTTTCTATCCCTGATTTACAGTTTCCAAAATCCATTTAGCAGGAGAGAGAATAAACTCATTGCAGTTTAATTACTGCTATGCAGTATCCCTGGAGCACAGGGCATCCTCTCTTCATATTCTTGTACCACATGACCCAACAGCAAACTTTTGCAAACTACCTGGAAGAAGAAGAGACTGACTCTTGACTGTCTGAGAGTGAGGAAAGCCTGGGGAAAAATTTAAGGCAATTATATTTTCATAGATATACTGATACATAAATAAATAACACATGCATTTAGGTCAGAGAACTTGTTTTCGGTTGACCAATTCTTTATCTGCTATGTGCTGCCTTAGTTGATTCCCATTAGGGAATCCAGTCAAGGGAGTCCTCGCTCCAGCCCATGCATGCTGAGCTGAACTTTTCCATAAAAAACTGTCTGTATGTGGAACATCTAATTCACATCTGTAAAAAAGACCTGTTTTTCACATCTTTGTGAGGACAATCTGTTGTAGGAGATGAGGTGAGACCAGTTAGCATTTGACAAAAAGGAAATCCCCTTTTTATTGCCTTCTTAACTGGGTTAAGTTAATAACTTGAGGGGTGGAAAGTGCTTTTTCTATTAGCTCTCAATGTAAATAAACCCTGGTTTTGAAGGTCTGGCATGCCTGAAATCCTGGGACACACAGACATTTGTTAGCATTTCAGTTCCTTTCTGCAGGACACCGTAGATCATGTTTACATTTTCCACTCTTCCTGGCCTATTTATTTTTTAAGAAAACACAGTTGGGGTTCTCATCTGCTCATGTCTTTAAGTACATAAATCTACTAGACTTGTTTATACAAACCTTTCTGAAAGGGATGAGTGGCGAGGACAGAGGACGTGTTTTGTAAAACCATTTTGTCTTCTTTGCTTTCTGCATCTGAAAAGTTGCAGCTTGTTGAAACTACAGAAGAGGTTGATTCAGGCTGGGTGAAAGCCTCCTGGGGCAGATGTCCCATCTGCCACTTAGAGACCTTTACGTCATGCCATGAGCTGTTTGCTGGCTTCCTGCACCTGCATAAATTGCACTCATCATTCCTACTACTACTAGGTCTTCATGGAAGGGTTACAGCAAATTAACTGGCTTTTTGGCCTGATTCTTCCCTCAGTCAGTGTTGACCATTTTCATTGTGCTCACTAGTTGGTGAGAACCAAGGCAAGGGGAAGGGCACAAAATCTTTGGTAGGACACAGGTACAGAGATGGGCCCTGCTGGGGAGCCAGCCTGATCTTGACATACGCTGTCTCAGCGCCTCCTCTAAAGGAGCAAAGCTGTTCTTTTTGCTTTCCCCCTAAAAAGGTCTCCTTTCTGCTCTGGAGAAAATATGGAGATTATCAGCTTTTCCCTTGTCGTTGATGTTTTCTACAGCTTTTTGGAGACAAAGCGCTAAGCTGCCCATGGGTGTTTCATACCTGGTGACCATAGGCAGCGAGAGTAGGTATGGCCACAACCACGGTTGCTGTCTGTTTCCTTAGAGTGCCGGGTGATGAAAGGGAGCCCTGCGGCTGCCACAGGCAGTAAGTCATCTCCCACCCCTCAGAAGAGCTCAGCAAAGAGTCCAGCCCCCATGCGCCGGAGCAAGTCTCCAGCCGATTCAGGTAACCATCAAGATGGTGAGTGATTGTTTTCTGGTGTCTGAATATTAACTCTGCTCAAAAGAAAAACATACATTGTGTGTCTTTGGATACACTGACCTTGGGTGTTTGCATGTGAAACTTTGGCACTTTTTAAAACCATGAAGCTCGTGTTAGTGTACAGGGGCACTAAATATTGGGGAGGAATTCTCTGGTTGGTTAAGTGCAGTTGTGGCTTTAGGTCATACCACTCACCGTCTCACAGCCTCCTGCCCTAATGAAATTTTAAAAGAAGTTTCCATTTCACAGGCAGGAAATCAAGGTCCACAGTGCTCTCATATGTTCTCTACAGATACAGACTGATTTAGAATAACCTCCTGTGCAATGCAAATGTTAATTATTGTACAGGTCAGAAGTGTCCCCTTCTAATCATTATTTAAAGAAGACCAGTGACCTTGCAATTGGAGAACTGGTGATGGGCTTATTGATGAGTTACTGAGACATTCATTCAGTAATAGAAGAGAAGGAAAATGGGAATCCTGATTTGTTGCAGCAGCTTGCACCATTTGAAATACCTCCCTCCCTCTTCAGCAGCAATTGGATTGGCAGTGTAGCACACCTGGAGATCTGTAGAGCCTACAAATTAAAGGCTCGGCTGAATATCAGACTTCTGGTAGTTGATAGTTTTTAGAGTCATGATGGAGAGGGTGGATCTCTAGGTGTGTCATCTGTCTGTGTGGTTTTTTCCAAAAGAAAACCAAAATGGCCAAATCACCAAATAAGCACTTCAGGATTCCAGGAGAGCTTCATAGCTTAAATTCAAGTGACCCACAGTATTAACACAGGTGATATAAACCAGAAATTGCTTTTCACCTTCACGGTAACATGTTGCATATTGCATGTGAACACCACACAACAGTTGACCATTAGTAGATATTGGATTACTGGATATAAAATTCTCCTGACAGTATTCAGAAAGATTTTCCCCAGGAAGCAGTTAATTTGTTTAGGGTCTCTTGGTGTTCTTCAAAAGAGACAATGTGAAATTGGCTGGCACATGCCAAGACTCTGCGATTTTAAAGAAGTTATTTCTCTGTAAGGTGAGTCTGCACTCATAGAGTTTTCCTTCAAGATTCCAGTGTTGGCTGTTCTTAAACTCAGGCTTGCTATAATCTAAAAAGCTTTTGCAATCCCAAATGCATGGTAAAGTTGCATAGGTACATTGAAGGCATGATGGAAAATATGTTGATGATTTAAAAAAACCCAAACAACTCCCATTCAACAATCTGGGAGTCAGCATGAGTTGTGAAACAGCATTTAAACCTTCTCCATAAGCATCAGATGGTAATTACCACCAGAACTAGACTTTATTGCATGAACATGTAGTCTAATGGGAAACGGCAACTATTGTGTTCCTGATTTTAACTGATTGAATGACTCACAGGAACAAAATGGTGAGTCATTTGATGAAGTTTAATGAACACAGTTAGTAGAGCCTTTCAGAAGGAGATTAAAATAACCAGAAATGCTGAACAATAGCCAGCTCCTGGAGTTAAGGCCAGTAATGAAGGACAAATCAGGTTTCTTTAATCCATCTAGACAAGGGTCTTTCGTACTTTCATGTGATTTCAATACAGAAAAAAATGGCAGCCTGTCCTGCTTAATGAGAATGAGAAATTACTGAACTCTCTCAGCACTCAAAATGTAAAGACAGTTGTTTTCTCAGGACAGAGACAAAAATAGAATACCATCTTGTGGTTTTGTCCCTTGAATTTGTAATAAAGAAAGTGAGTCTAAATGTTACTTAAGAGTCAATATTTACATAAACAATCAACAGGCTTAGCTGGATTTTGAAGTTACCACATTAAAAAGGCAAGGAATGCTGAATGAAAGCTGATTAATAAAAGATGATCTGACCCATTTTTTTTTGCAGCATTCTCACCTATTTCATTTGTGAAAGGATTTAAAAAGCAGTTTTATTTCAAGTGTATTGAATATTTTTGCGATGTGTTTGATCTCCTACCCATTTGTACCTTCTGTCTTTGCTGTCTTTCACTCTGCTACGGTTGTCATAGCAGAACTTGGAGTTTCCTTGATTCTATGTTATTAGTTTCTGTTCTTTTCAGTTCTTTTCCATGTATCGTTTTTTCCACCATAGTCTGTAAGGCCATTGTGACATATCTGGGCACTGATGTAAATGCAGGCTCTGAAGTAAATCTTCATGCTGCTTGAGTGAAAGAAGTCTGAACCCTCCTCATTACAAGCACGCCACAGTTACAGAAAAGGATGTTGTTTTCTCCTATTTGTCATCCTAATTATTCCATTTCCCTGTTAAAGCATATGGGAAAATGGTATGTTATTATCAGCAGCAAAAATGAGAATGCAGTGGATTTGCATGTGGACAGTTGTCCACATGCATTGCCCACAGAGGCAGCTAAGGCTTAAAGCAGATTGTACATGCACAACTGTGCCTCACTCCTTGGCAGGAGCTTTGATGCTGCCAGCAGATAGTGGACAAAAGTAATAAGTCACTATTATAGCACAGAGAGAACAGAAAAAACTACTTCAGCAGAGCTTGCTAGTGCTAATTCTCAGGATGTAACCTTGACAGCATGCAAACATTGCATCTGCTTTCTCTACCGTTCACTGTAGGAACACTTCTGATCTTTATGTGTCAACATAAATAAAACACTTCTCCTTCAAAGCTGTGGAAATGCTTTGTGCCTGAGCAGCAGCTATCCTCCACACAGGCTGGGGTATTCGGGGACTTGCGGTTTTTTCCAGTCTCCTTCACTGACTCATTCCATGGCTTTGAGTGCAGCATTTAAGCTGTTCATGCCTTCTTTCCCAATGGATCATCCAAGACAGTGATAACCAATCTGTATATAGACCTCTGTAATCTGCCCATGGAATCATGCACAGGAAAGAGCTTTGAGGCTCTTTATTTGGAGCTTTTTGTGTATTCTGAAAGCACTTGGAGAATAATATTGCTAAAACCAAAGCTATTATCTCACAGATTGACAGAGCAAAAGATCTCCAGAAGCAGAGTGGCTGCAGCATGTGCTCCAGACCTTCCAACAGAGGCAAGCCACGCTCTAGCAAGGCCACTATCTACGCTCCAGTGGATCAGAGGCTGCTCCAGCAACCGGCACGCTCTCTAACGCATTCAGTCCTGCTGCAGTAAACTGTCAGGTTACACATGTGAATGAATACAACTGTGTGGCCTGATGCCATGTTAGCCATCATCAGAGACTATGTAGATCCCCATCTAAGTTGATTTGTCAGCCTGGAAGCTTTCTATGTAGGGATCTGCCTTCTGTGCCAGGTGATCTCCATTCACCTTTGATATCCTTTGCTCTTTCTGGTTTTGGCTGTGAATTTAGTGATCTACTTCTCAATAAGAAACGTAGATCCAGGTATAACTAGCCTTCTGGGGGAGCCATAGAGAGATCATACTGGTGGCTGGAGTCCCATTTCCGCTGATGGCACCCAAAGCTTTGTTCCTGACTGTGGTCTCTGGGGCCACCTCTGAGTCAGAACAACAGCAGAATAAAGAAGAAAATATATGTAGCAAGTCTGTAAATCTAGCACTGAAAAGGAAGCAGCTTCTAAGCCATTTAATTGCTCCTATCACCAGCTATATGTGAACTGTAATGTATTCTTTGACTGTCTTGTTACAGCAGTCCTGGTACTAAGCCACCTAAGTAAGTGGTCAGCTCCCATTCCAAAATAACAAGGATTAACATGGAGCAACAAAGAACGCACAAACAAAATATTTTGTTAAAAAATGTCAGGACAACAGGCCGTGCATGAAGCGCAACTGCACAGAGAGTGCCAGCTCCCAGCTGCAGTGATTCGAGTTCACTGGTTGAATTGCTACCTTCTGCCGGAGGTAATTTGCCTCCTGCCTAGATGTGTCATGGCCTCACTGTGAAAAGCTCAATTCCCTCTAGGCAGCCAGAGCCCTTCAGCTCCAAAGATATTAAAAAAATGAGGTAGCTAATCCACAGAAATGTGTTAAACACTGTTTTCTTGGCACGGTACTTTTGCCTCTTTATTTACCATACAGTCATTTAAATGGCTGAGAATGAAATGAATGAATGAAAATGAAGTGTCTTGCTATAAGCAGATGGTAACAGACCATAGTCCTTATACTCCCAAGGGGAATCCTTTCTTCCTTCTCTCATTAACCCCTAACCCATATATATACCTTCTCAGCAATGCCAGTGTATTTTTGTTGTGATCCAGCTATTCCTCCAGACACTGCGCTGATCATTCCATCGTGGGGCTGTTTTCACCTCTTGGTTCAGTTTGACTGGAAGGCCCTAGCTGCTTTGCCAGCAGTTCCCACGGGGCTTCCAACGTATCTTTTAGTTTCCCATCTCTTTGGTGCTGGAGCTGTGATGCAGTCTTTCATCTATATCCTCCACCTAACTCTCCCAACTTGTTGCTTCCAGCAAGGTGTGGTTAGCAAAATACAGCAGGATTTTACTTCTCCCTCTACAAGAATGTATCCATGTGCCTTTCTCTTCTGTCTGCCAAATGTTAGCTAGTAGAGCTGAACTAGTTTCTCACATATCAGGTGTGAATTGAGACTGGAAGGGATTGGTGTCTCTGTCTGGCCTTAGTTGAGCTTGGGTTGTTGTGTTTTAGTATGGATGGAACATGCTAAGAAAGACATAGGCAAACTAGAGAAAATCCAGAAGAAATTTCCTAGGGTTCAGAAGCTGCTTTGGGAGGAAAGGTTGAAGGAAATGGACTGATTCAACTTAGAAAGAAGGAAGATTGCAAAAGGACAATTTAACACTCTTCAAATGCATTTGAATTATTCAAAAGAGGATAAGGATCAATTTTCCTGTGTGCTTATTGGGCATAGGACAGGACATTGGTTTAATCTTTAATAAGGGATATATAGATCAGGTATTAGGAACACATTCAATTATAAGCATCTTAATCACTGAAACAGGTCTCCTAGGGAGCCTGTGAGGCCCTGTCAGACTTTGTGCTTTTAAAACATAAGAACTCTACTGGGGATGACC